GGACCTAGGGGCTGGTGTCTAGAGACCAGGCCTGAGCATGTGCAGCTGAGCCAGGGTACAGGCGGGGCCTATCCTCACCCCTGTGTTGAGGAGCATATGTGTCCCCACCCCAGCCTCACTGGAGGCTCACTTCAAACAGCCACTGGTGCACACTTGGCCCTGTACACGCTGCCTGCTCCTTTGCCCACTGGTTGAGCTGCGTAGTGACCCAGGGGCTTTCCTGGTGCCAGGTGTGAGCTCTGTCATGGCTCACTGCTGGCAAAGGCTGCCAGCTCAGTATTGGGTCTGACACCAGGGCCTGGCCTCACCCTGAAAGAGGAGGCTCCAGGCCGTGGAGGGCAGGGCAGGGGTAGGGATTGCAGACCCAGCCCTTGTCATCTAGGGCAGACCGCAGGAAGGAATCAGGAGGGCTTCAGTTGGTACAGCTGGGACTGGGGAGCTGGGTGGCCACTCCAGCTGGTGCCTGAGGCCCCAGAGAGGCAGAGCCTTCTCTCCGCAGGGCGACAAGGATTTCAGATGGTGAACTGAAGAGCAGGCAGGAAGATTAGGGGGACTGCGTGGGGGCTTGGGCCCTCAGGAGTCCCACCCTTGGCTTATGTTTGTCCTCTCAGTGTCTCTTCTCACCTGTCCTCACCCTTCCCGTACCCTGTCCTTTCCCCTGGGCTCTGTTCTCTTCCTAACCCTCAGTACCGAGTCTGTCTGGTGTCTGCTTATTCTAGGAGGGGGCAAATGGAGACCCAGGCTGCTACTTTCTGATGGGTCACCTCCCCACCCCCAACCCTTCTCCCACTCCCACAGAGGGCCCAGACCCAGACCAAGTTAGAGTTTCTGACTTGCTGCCTGATTTTTCTTTTCTTTTTTGGGGGGAGAGGTTTATTGCTAAAGGGCACGTGTGCTCGCCAGACAGACAGAGAGAGGCAGAGAGACAGAAAGCAAGAAATCACCCCCCCAGGGGGGATGGCCACGCCACAATCCCTTCTCCTCCATTCTCCTCTCCCGATCTTGGGCACCACACGCACACGTGCCTGGCATGAGTTTAAACCACCGGGTCCGGGACTTGAACCGCAGTCGACTATGTGGGAGTCCAGCGACATAGCCATTACACTAACTACTGGTCCCTTGCTGCCTGATTTTTGTTAAGGCCCTGGGGTGAAGGCAAAGATCTGTTCCTGTAGCCGGGGGGTTCCAGTGCCTGGGGACACACCTGTCCTTTCCTTCCTCTCACCCCACCCCCCAGGTGTTCCTGCCCAAATACCGAGGGGACTCTGGAGGTGGTGGCAGTGAGGACAGCCTGACGACCAGTTTCCTGCCAGGTTCTAAGTCTGGTGGTCCCTTCCCCAATGGACACGTGGGCGCTGGAGGTGGCAGCCTGCTCCCTGCACCACCAGCACTCTGCGGGGCCTCTTCCTGTGACGTCTCCATGCGTGTGGTGGTGGCTGCCGAGCCCACCGAGGCCAGGGTTGTTCCTGGCCGGGGCATCTGCCTGGACCTCGCCATCCTGGACAGTGCCTTCCTGCTGTCCCAAGTGGCTCCATCCCTCTTCATGGGCTCCATCGTGCAGCTCAGCCAGTCTGTCACTGCCTATATGGTGTCCGCCGCAGGCCTGGGTCTGGTCGCCATCTGCTTTGCTACACGAGTGGTGTTTGACAAGAACGACTTGACTAAGTACTCGCTGTAGGGTACTCAGGGCACACCCAAGGGAGGACCTGTCCCACTGAGTCCCGGTCCCTGGGCCTCCTAGGGCTGCAGGCTGGCCTTGGTTTCTGTTGCTGCCAAAGTGGGGTGGCTCTCTGCTGCCACCCCGTGGCAGTGGGGTGTGTAGCTGCACTGACCGGGTGGGGCGTCCTTGCCCTTCTCCCTGGTCTCTAGGGCTGGCTGACCTTCGGCTTGCCGGGTGAGTTTCAATCTGGACTTCTACATGGAGGCTAGAGGGACAGGGCATTAGATTAACTCCGTGCACTGGAATGCAGGCGGGTTACCCAGGTCAGGGTTGACGGCTCGTGTCCTGGTGGAGATTGGCCCAGAGAAGGGATCTGAGTAACTCAGTTAGCTGGTTCCCCATCTCCGAGGCCCCTTATCGTGCAGGTCCCCCAGTGCTGCTCTTGCAATTTCTAGTGTGAAAGTCTCCTCTGGGGGTGTCACATGTGGAGGTTGTTTAGGGGAAGAACCCAGAGGACGAGGTAATATCCCCTCTGTCCACAGCACTGCCTTTGTCACCCAGCCCCCTCTTATCAGGACGTGGCTTATTGGTTTCTGTGTGGCCATCACAGGGACACAGGCCTTTAAATATTTAACTTATTTATTTAAGAAGGGAAGGGAATCCGTTCCCAGCTCTTTCGTGTTGGTGCCTAGGTTTGGGTTAGGTGGGATCAGATTAGCAGGGTCCCCTGAGGTAGTAGGTGGTCACTGGGCCAAGCCTTGCAGAATCTCCTTCTTCTGGGGTGACTGGTCTGGCCCCCAAACTGCCCATCCAATCTTTGGAAGCTCTGTTCACCCCAACCGATACCCCAGATGCTGTTACCCACGGCAGACTATTGCAGAAAGGTGGACGGTGGGGCTGGAGGTCTCAGCAACACCCCTAACTTCACCCCTCCCCGCGTCCTCACGTGGCTCCCCCACTGTCCTCTGTTCCCACTGGAGCTGAGCTGATGAAGGAACCAGGCCCCATCTTTCCTCACTGACTCCACACCCTCGGTGTGGGGCTTTTGTAGGACCAGAAGCACAAAGAGTGGTTCCTCGGGCCCTTGCCCATCCAACCCCCCGGGGCACATCCGTGCTGGGGAATCTCATGCAGAAACTCAGGAGCACCCCCTGCCTGAGCTAAGGAGGTCTTATCTCTTGGGGGTTTAAGTGCCGTTTGCAATAATCTTTATTATTTATTTAGCGGAGTAAATATTTTATACTGTACATGAGCAATCAGAATATAATGTTTATGGTGGTGAAATTAAAGGCTTCTTATATGTTTCATTGGCTTGTGTGTCTTTTCTGAGGGAGAAGGGCCAGATTCCTCCAGCAGCTTCTCCACTTTTCAGTTCATGGGGATCCTTAGCATTTGGCAACTTCAGTTCCCAGTGTCCACCAGCAGATGGAGCCATAGACCAGTGTGCTTTGTTTCTGTTGGCAATTGGACTAGACTGTGCTACACCCTGGACTGGGCGGTTCATTTAGGGGTGTGGTTGGGGGGCAGTCAGGAAGAATCTGGGCATTTTCTTTCTTTTTTAGGGGAGAGGTTTTTTTCTGAAGGGTGAGTTTGCCAGAAAGACAGACAAAGATGGAGAGGGAGAACGTGAGAAATCATCTCCCAGAGGGGATGGCCACATTGCAGTCCTTTCTCCTCCATTCTCCTCTCAGGATTTTGGGCACACGTATACACGCACCTGGCATGAATTTCAAGCTGCCAAGTCCAGGACTCGAATTGCAGTCAGCCACGTGGGAGTCCAGTGCTTTAACCGCCATGCCACCTGCTGGTCCCTATTGCATTTTCCTTCAAGGAGATGGAGCTTGCACACACATACATGTGCCTGATGTGTTTTTTTAAGCTGCCAGGTTCATGACTCCACCGTGTGGGTTCCAGCTGCCCTAACCACCACATCACTGGATGTCCCCACCTTTTGGATTTTTTAGGTGTGATTTTTTTTTTCATACTGAATAGTTTTTCATCAATTATTTGGTTATGTTGAAATATGGTTTGTATGAGAAAGGCATGATAAACGTTTGATTCTTTCCCATCACTTAGCTTTCAGAATGAGGAGATGGTACTCCACCAATCAGCAGATAAAGACCATGTTTGTGTTGTTTTTTAATTAAGGAATCATCATTATGAACTCATGGTTTTTGGCCTTAGGATATATTGAGTCAGGTATGTATAATCAAAATACTACCTTCAACTTTTTGTCATGGAAAAGTTAAATCCGTCCACTAGCGGAGAGCGAATATCGCAACAAATGCTAATATCCCATCACCTGGTGTCAGCACGCAGCCGCTGGTGGCCGGCCACTCAATACCTCCCTGTTCTCCTACGTAACTTTGAAGCAATCTTGGACATCAGCTCTCATTAACTAATATTTCATAACTTATCTGTTAAGGACTTAGGGGGCAGCAGGTGGCATGGTGGCTAAGGCACTAGATCCCCCATGGCTGACTGCACAGTTCGAATCCCAGACCCAGCTGCTTGAAAAACACCTTGGGTGCGTGTGTGTGGCCAAAATCCTGAGAGGAGGATGGAGGAGACAGACTTGTGGTGTGGCCGTCCCCCAGGAGATGCTTTCGTACTTCCCTCTCTGCCTGTTTCTCTCTGGCTAGTCCATGCACCTTGTAGCAAATTTAAAACCAAAAACAAAGGGGCCAGCAGGTGGAGTAGTAGTTATTGGTGCTGGACCCCTACGTGGCTGACCACAGTTCGAGTCCTGGACCTGGCAGCTTGAGACATGTGTATGCGTGCCCAAAATCCCAAGAGGAGAATGGAGGAGAAGTGATTGTGCCATGGCCATCCTCCCCCAGGGGATGATTTCTTGCTTTCTGTCTCTCTGGTGAGCACACGCACCCTATAGCAAAAATCTCTCAAAAAAACAAAAACAAAAACAAAAAACCAGGAGTTTATTGTAAGTTTGTATTGATACTTCCAATTCAAGTTCAAGAGTATAAATGCTGTACACGTATGCATCTTCTCTAAGTTCTCCCACAACGACACAGACCTAAAGTCCTGGACTGGTGGTTTTGGGTACATGTATGTGAGTGCGTGCGTGCGTGTGTGTGTGTGTGTGTTGAGGGTGATGAGAGAAGACGTGAAAAAGCCACCAGTCAGCCATCACCATCACCGTCCATGCAGCTGAGCACAGAGCCCAGCCCGCCACTGAGAGGTCCTTCCTCGGAGCAGCAGCCCCCTCCTCGCTTGTGCAAATGGCTTCACACTTGAGTCTCAACCAGGTCTCAGATCTCTAAGTCTCAAGAAAGGAGATGAGAGATGCTCAGGGAACAGGACTTGCGGGACACAGAGGAGCATTTCTACAAGTTTTAAATATTTGGAACCTGCTGAACCAGCTCACGGTCCATTGGGGCCTTGCCTTGGTACTCCCCGGGGCTTTAAACATTCCTCACTGAAACACCGACTCTCTACGATGTACAGAAGGGACAGAGAGAAGCAGAAGAAAGAAAAACCCTGGAAAGGAGACAGGATACCACCAGCAGCTTCAAAGACGTCAACGCTATTTCCTGAGTCCTTTCCACATGGGGGCTGACAGATGCCCTCTGACCCTGACCCTTAAGGACCGCGAGGTTTAGGTGGAAAGGAGAAGGCCCGTGTGAATCGGGTGTGCGCGGCTGTGAGAGTATTCAGAGAATGTGGAGCCTGTGCCAGCGGTGCTCAGAGCTCAGAGGAAAGGATGAGAATGTGCAGGCCTGCGCGGGCCATGGGGATCCCGCCTCCCCGAGACGATGGAGCCTCGGGTCCTGACTTGTGATTTCAGCCCAGGAACTGGAAAGCCAGAGGTGGGGGTGCCCCACCCTTCACACGCACATGGGCCTTCCTTTTGCCCCTCCATGAGAACCAGCCACTGGGAGGTGGGGAGCAGGGAGTGTAGGAGGGGGCAACCTCCACCAGGTAGGACCTCAGGTTACTTCCTGTGCTGCTGGAGAAAGCCTTGATTTCCAGGGTCAGAGTTGATGACAGCAGCCTGGCACTTTGGTTGCTGTTGGCCGAAAGGCTGTTTAGAGCTGGGACTTCCCACCATCCAGTGCTGTCATTAGGTCTCCATGTACATTAGGAGGTAACATGGGCTTCAGTCTGCTCCCCCTAGCATTTGACCTTTGGCAAGTCATACTCCTGCTGTGTGTACAAATGGGGGTGTTAGTTCACCATTAACCGGTCCCCAGCTCCGTGCCCCTCACCTGTCATGTACTTTCCTCCTCTTTTCACCACATACTTGTCTACCTTCCTACAGGTTGGACCCTGTGCTAGCCCTGGGACTGTGGCAACAAAAGACACGACCAGGGCCAGCAGGTGGTGTGGAAATTAAGGTGCTGGATCTCACACGGTCACCTCTGAGGTTTGATTCTCAGACCTAGTGACTTGAAAATTCAGCTGGACATGTGTGTGCATGTGTGCCCCAAATCCCAAGAGGTGAGTGAAGGAGAAGGGATTGTGGCATGGTTTTTCTCCCTAGAGGGTGCTTTCTCGCTCCCTCTCTCTCTCTCTCTCTCTCTGGCAAGCATGCACACCCTATAGGAATTTTTATTATTTTTTTAAGAGCTATATATTTAATAATTATTTTATTTATTGATTCATTCATTCATTCATTCATTCATTTATTTCTTAATTTGACCAGAGAGAGACAGAGGGTGAGAGTGAGAGAGAAAGGAAGTGGGAAAGCAAGCCACCAGATTCAGGACTCGAACCCTGGTCGGCCATGTGGGAGTGTCCAGCGCCTTAACCACCATACCACCTGCTGGTACCTTTCCTAAGTAATTTTAAACATGTTTGTTTCTTTTTTTAAGGTAAGACTTTCTAAAATCGAGTTACCTGCTTAGGGCCACACCACAATCTCTTCTCCTCCATTCTCCTCTCAGGATCTTGGGCACGCACACACGTGCGCTCGGAGTGAGTGTAAGCTGCCAGGTCTGGGACTCAAACCATGGTTGACTACGTGGGAGTCTAGCAACATAACCATTATGTCATCTGCTGGTCCATCTATAGGAAATCTTGCAGAAGTATGAAAAAGAATTTTTTTGAGAGATTTTTGTTTGTTTGTGTTGTGCTCATCAGAGAGACAGAAAGATGGAGCAAGGGAAAGTGAGAAATCACCCCCTGGGAGGATGGCCACACCACAATCTCTTCTTCATTCTCTTGGGATTTGGGGCATATATACATGTGCCTGGTGTGAGTTTCAAGTCACTGGGTCTGGGACTCAGTTTGTCCTCAGGCATATGGGAGTCCAGCACCTTAACCACATCCCATCTGCTGGTTCCAAGAATAAAATTTTTAAAAATTTCAGTCCTTCCTGTCTGTGCATTCTCAGTTTTCCCCAGGGGAAAAGAAGACGTGTCGAGTGAAAAGTTATTTTTCTTTAAAGAATTATTTATTTTTAATTTTATTTATTCATTCATTTATTTTAATTTGACCAGAGAAAGACAGACACACAGAGAGAAGGAAAGTGAGAAAGCAAGTCACCAATTTCAGACTCAAATCGTGGTCAGCCATGTGGGAATGTCCAGCACCTTAACCACCATACCACCTGCTGGCCTGTGCAAAGTTATTTCGAATAGTTCAAGGCAATTTGACAAGAGCCAAAAGTACAAGGCAGAACGATGGGGGAATAGGTCTACTCCTAGGATGTTATAAAAAGAGGCTAGCAGGTAGCATAGTGGTTAAGATGCTGGACTTCCACATGGCTGACAGTAGTGTGAGTCCTGGACCCAGAAGTTTGAAATTCATGCCGGGTGCATGTGTGCCCAAAATCCCAGAAAGAGAAGGGATTGCGGTGTGGCCAACCCTCTGGGGTATGATTTCTCGCGTTCTCACTCTCTCTTTCTCTGGCAAGCATATGTGCCCTATAGCAAAAATCTCTCTAAAAGTAAGGAATTAATTAAGGGTTAAAGTGATTTCCTTTTTTTAAAAAAATTTACTAGAGGGCCTGTTTGCTTACCAGTGAGAGAGCGAAAGAGAGAGAAAATGAGAAAGTACCCCCCATATGGGATGGCCACACCACAATCCCTTATCCTCTGTTTCTCCCTCCTTTGGGGACATTGCGCTGAAAGTATTTCATTGTATGAATAGTTATACTTTTCTAACTAGCCTCCGTTCATGACTATTTAAATTGTTTCCACATTTTGGAATAAATACACTTTATTCTTTTGCATACATTTGCATACTAGATCAGAAGAAACGTGCAATTTATTTCTAAATTAGCTGGCCTCTAAAACCGGCAACAGTGCGTGAGAGTGAGAGGGTTGGGGGGGCGTCTACAGCA